ATTTAGCTTCTATCCTCAGCTTGTTCAGTTAAGCCATGGTTGTCAGGCAAATCTGCTCTGCATTCCGACTCTTCCCATTTTGCTGCATTCAAAAGGAGAAAGAGTACAGGGCAGGTTGTACAGTCACTGATGACTGTGATAGCTAATCATAGGCTGTCACAGCGATCATGTGATCAGTGGCCAGTCCTCCCAGCTCCTAATCTTAAAGTGTTACTAAACCCAGAAGCCTGCATCCACTATATCCAATCTCCCACAGTACACAGAACATGGAAGTGCAATTATTTTAGTAAATATAAACTGCTAAAAACCTTTTCTCATCAGCAGTTAACCTCCCTAGCGGTATTCCCGAGTGTAGCTCGGGGTAAAATGTTAGTGCCAAAAGCAGTAACCCCGAGCTACACTCGGGCTTACCATGCGGAGCTGCATAGGGAGTCCCTGCATGGCTTACCTTGTCCTTCGCTCCCCGCGATGTGTCCCCTGCAGCGTCCCCGGCCATCTCCGCTGATGCCGGCATCCGGCTTCTGTGTTCCGGCCCCTGTAACGTCGGGACGTACGGCGCCGCCGGGAAATTTGAAAGTGTTAAAAAATTTCATTTTTTTTCAAAACACATTTTTCATAGTAAAACATTGCTGTTTCAACCCATTTCACATACATATTGTCCCTAGTGCTACAGCGCTGCTCCGGGATCTCTTCTTCACTTACCTTGTCCTACGCTCCCGTGATGTCCCTCCTGCAGTGTCCCCGGCAATGTCCTCCGGCGGATGCCGGCATCTATCTTCTGGGTTCCGTTCCCTGCGACTTCAGGACATACGGGGACGAAACGGCGGGAAATTTGAAAGTTGTAAAAGTGACATTCACTAAATTCACTAAAATCACATAGTAAAACATTACTGTATCAACCCATTTCACATACATTTTGTCCCGAGTGCTTTGTCCGATGCCCTGCCTGCATTTTTACTGTTCTTTCTGCCTGGAAACTGAGAAACGTCCATGGCGTCCAAAAAGTGTCCCTTTAGGTCAAAAGCGATTTTAGACCAGCTAGAGAACAGCAATCGTAAATCAGAATCACTTGAAGAATTGAGTGATAATGATTAGTGGGGAAATTCGTCATCAGAAACTGAAAACGATTTTGCGACTTTGCTCAGCAATGTATGAACTTGGCGCTATATTTCAAATTTCAGTGTATTCGGTTTGATTATATTACTGAATTAAATGTATTATTATTATATTATTATTTTTTTATGATTATTTATTAAATTATAATTTATTATTTCATGTTTCAAATTTTTTCATACCCGGGATGTTTAATAGACTCTTGTTCGGACAGATTTCAGTGAGTTATTCCTAAAAATTACAGCCTACAATAAAAAAAACTACATATTTCCATGCAAAATAATGGTACCGCTTTCAGCACCAAAAATCTGAAATAATCATACCACTAGGGAGGTTAAAGCAATCTTGTGTTCTATCAGTGTTCAGCAGAGCACTGGTTAATGCTTGCAGGAGTTTTAATTTTGCTCTAGGAGGATGCAGAACCCCTGACCTCTGTCTGGACAGTGCTGATTGGCCATGTTCTGATCACATGCACTCCCAAGAAAAAGTCTCACTAGCAATACACACCAAACTGAACATGTGCAGAGTGACTCCACACGATATTCCTTATCAGGAGATAAGAGGGTGGTACTGGAAGAAGGGGAGGGTCAGAGAAGTCAGGATCAAACAGCGTTTTCACACAATGCAGAGGATTAACCCCTTAGGTTCCACAGGGAGTATAACAAGCATGCTTTACTGCATATACAGACTGATTTTACTGTTGTGGGTTTAGTAACACTTTAAGTATGAGACCCAGAGCTGTTGATGTCAGCTTTGTTTCCATGTTGGGAGCATACTGTGCAGTGGTTCTAGCAAATGCTTATAACTAACTGCCAGCTAAACAATGTTATGCCATTCCATAAAGCCTTTGCTAATAAATGTAATCACCTGCACCTGGATTGTGGCAGATAGTGCCAGACTTGTGAATTCTGTTTACCGCACTTATAAAGAGAGAATCTGTGTTCCCAGCTTTACCTAATTGCTGATATAATACCATTAATGTTTTACAACTAGCTAATTAAAGGTCTGCTTATGCCTGGTCTGCCAGTTCTCACCAATGGAGTAAATGACTGAAGTAGCCTCCATGACAAGGCTGCCGAATCTGGCTAAGGCAGCCCATACATGATTCATTTTTTTTTTTTTTGTTTAATCAGTGGTTTGAACAAAAAAAAATAAACCTATTCCCCCATCCACACATTCGATGTGGATATGGGAACCTTTCCCACTGCGCTATTGTATTCTGCCGAAGGGGGCCTTCTACAAGGATTAGTGATGCCAGCTATAACCGGTGGCACTGATTATTCGGGAAAAAAATGACAGGTTGGTTGTACATAAGTTGATAGATAAATTGGCTTGTGTACAACCAGCTACCCTATACATGAATCAAAATTCAGCCATTCCTCGATGAACTGGCCAAAATTTTATTCCGTGCATGGCCAGCTCAAGCAAGCAACATAGTTTTTAGAAGCTTGACGGCAGGTCTCTGGTTGTGTATTCACCTTGATTGTGTTATTGGGGGTAGGGGATGCATTCCATTCCATTACTACTGTACTCCAGCCATGTACAGGGTGGGGATCAAAGCAAAGATGTCTGTTTTTTTTAAATTGGCGCTGCCTGGGCTTGCAGATTTTAAACCAACAACCTGTATTTTCTTATCCAGTTTTGGGGTACTTCAAACCTCATTACCATCGCAGGTACCCTCTATGACAATTTTTTCAATATTCTGTTGTCTTACTCCCTGTTGCCAACAACAAGATGTCAGACATTGTTGCGTTTTTCCTGTCCACTTATTAAGATCATTGCAATGTACAGTATCTGCTCCTTAAGAACAAGGCTTATGCAGTTCCCTATACATTTGCCCCCCTCTGTAGGACATGTTTTTCCCAAACTTATATGAGTGGCGTTTTTTTTTTGCTATAATTCAGCACAATCTATTATTTATTATTTATATTTTTAGACATGTTAACTTACCATCTTTTAAGATATGTTACTAATGAATTTCTATAGCATTTCTGATTTTTTAAATTGTTATTTACAGTCCTTTGCTGTCGTTTTCCTGCAGCAATGCTATACATACTGTAATGCTTTCACTGCTCCTGAGGCTTGAAATAGTGATGTACGTATATCCTTGCAATGCAAATCCTGGCCCTCCATCTGGACACAGTTTGCACCCATTCTCTCCCAGAGGTGCCATCTTCACCACTGGTCATGGCATACTGTTGACTGTCTTCTACTTCTGCCTTCTACTGACTGCCTTCTTCTGGCCAGAGATGCTGTTTTATACCTAAAAATGTACCATTTTCTTGCAAGAGATCCTTGCACTCTTCTCTTCTTCATTGTTCTATTATATGAATACCTTCCACTCTCTGGAGCTACTGGATTCAGGTCACCTTTTCCTGTGGATCTGTGTCCTTTAATTGAAGATCTGTAATCACTACGTAAAGAGTACTGTGCACATTTGCAATTTTTTTTTCATTCATTTTTTTTGTCCTTGGTTACATTCCATTCTGAATTAAGACCGGTAGAGTGTGCCACTTATGGTTAAAAACAAATAACTAGTGCCTATTTTGGTTGAAAAGGCAGATAAACCAATTGTTGGTTATGTGTTAGAGAAGACACTGGTAGCCTGTGATGAGGCAGAACTCTGTTTTACTTGTGTGGCTTAAGTTGCAAACATACAGAACACATTTCAGCAGAAATCTTGGTTTTTGAAGAGAGGAAGAGAGAGAACCAACAAGTTTTACACATATGCACATTTGGTAACCTTAGTGTACAGTGCCATCTACTGGTCAAGTGATATTAACACACAATACTATATAGTACATGCTGTTGCATTCCCAACACCAATTACGTGGTGGCACCTTTAAAAACATTAAAGGGAAAGCAATATGTAATTTTGGTTCTCAAGTATTTATTTATGCAACTTTATTTGGCTGATTGCTTCTATTACAACAGAAAGTTTACAAACTTGTATAACTATAAAGCATGTTCATTGCTGGGCCCAGACAACATGTTAATGTGCCCCAGGTTTAGGGAGACCAAATTGCCAAAGTTGCTTGCACTGTTCAATACAATCAGCCCTGAACAGAGGGGTATCTAGCCTGATGTTGCCTGTATCATTCCAGCCTGTGGGACCTCTGCAACACTCTTTAATTAATGCGGACCATCAAACACAATAAATTTCCTTTTATTTGCATCTTTTCACTTCCCTGTTAAGTAAAGTATCTTTTTTTCGGAAACTAGCACCTTGTTGTGATGATGTTACCACCAACTTTCTCTTTATCAGGAACAGAAACCCTGTGAAGAATCAGTTGTCCAGAAGCCAGCACTGGACATGTGCTGGTAAATTTTTTTTTTTTTATCAAAGTCAGCAGCTGCAGTACTTGTAGGTGATTGGTTACCATGCACAGCTGCACCAGATTCTAAGTGTTGAGCACCAATGGGGGTTTGCTGACTACCAGCTGAGCTGCACTGACCACCAATAAAGAGGAACACTGATTACCAAATAAGTGGGCACACTAAGCAACAAAAATGGGCACTGACCACTGAACACCAATGTAAGTGAACACTGATCATGGAACACAAGGGTTGAGCAAATTTTCTTGGGTTCAATTTGCAGGGGTTTCCTCAAATCCTACTTGAAATCCACAAAACCTGAACAAAGCAGCAAACCCTACTGAAATGTGTAGGGGGCGATTCTTGGTATTAAATATTGGCCACTTTCAAGGCTAACAGACAAGCTATTGCCAAAAAGGAGCATAGGTAGCTGGGCACTGCAGTGGGGGACATTTAATAAAACAAAACTTTTTTTTTTATTAGTGTACACTGGGGAGAGGGACTTTTATTGTGACTTAGAGGGTGACATGAACAAAATAGCAATCCTTTAATTTATCCTTTATATTGTTTACTTGGGTATTAGAGAACAGCACATTTTTCATAGACAGTGTCAGTCAGGGGCGGACTGACAACTCATGGGGCCCCCGGGCAAAAGGGGATCATGAGGCCCCTGTGTCCGTGCCCAAACTCAAAAAAGCCTATGAAAAAGGTGCCAGGGGCATCTCATGGGGCCCCCTACTGACCCCGGGCCCTCGGGCAGTGCCTGAGTTTCCAAATGGTCAGTCCGCCCCTGTGTACCAGTCTCTGTTCCCTGAAGGAGCTCAAAACTTAATTTTTCTGTCTCAGTCAAACACTTGTACAATGGTCAGTCCGCCCCTGGTGTCAGTGACACTATACACGTATTACATGTTTTGGATGTGTAATTGATTTTTTAAATTTCACATTTAGCTTGGCTTTAAACAAAGCAATAACACCCCAATCTATTGTTTTTAGTCTGAAAAAAAGCCTTTACCCCCTCCCATCCCCATATCCCCAATTATTCCCAAAACATTCAAAATATATAGACTTTAGGTATGGGTTTGGTAGAAAGTGGCTTATAAAAATTAGAATGTGTTATCTGAAGGACAATACAGAGATGTTGTTCACTTGCTGAACAGTAAGTATATAGGTTGGCTAGGTCCCAGTATAGGAGGAAGAAATGAGACAGAATTTATCTTTAAAGCGGAGTTCCACTCACCTGTCAAAAAATAAAAGTCAGCAGCTACAAAAACTGTAGCTGCTGACTTTTAAAAAATGCCACTTACCTGTCCCTCAGTCCCGCTGTGTGTCCCCTGCAGCCCGTTTCACCGGCTGTCCTGTATTCCAAGAGGCCGGCATCTTCAGTGTGGGCACCCGGCTGTGACAGCTTGCGACTTCACAGCCAGGTACCCACTGCGCATTTGCGAGTAGCGCTGCGCTTCATGAATGGTCCTGTAGTCTTCTTGGACCTGTCACATGTCCCAAAAGACTACAGGGAGGGCGGACACCTTCCGCTTCTGATCGCCTAGGCGATCGGACCAGAAGTGGGAGCGGATATCTGTCAAATTCGGGTACCCCGCTCCCCCCCCCACCCCCCAAAGGTGCCAATCCTTAATGGTGAGCAGGGGAGCAGTCCTTAAAGCTGAACTTTCCCTTTTGGGTGGAGCTCTGCTTTAAATAGAAATGAGATTGTATATTTGGAAGACAATAGCCACAAATGTTTTATAATGACTGGACAGTGCAGCCCCAGATAGCAATTGCTATCAACTGCCATCTGAAGCTGCAAAAAAATAACCACCAAGTAAAACTTTCTGAGCCCCACTTTGTCCAAGCTATTTGCACTCCAATTCCTCTTCTATATAATATAGTGGAAATTTTCTTGCCTGAGTTGCCCCATAGTGTATGATTCCGATCTGCAATTTATGTTCTTTTGTTTTCTTTTCTTTTACTTATGTTATTTTTTTTTAATGCATTTTAAGTTTTTGGGGTTTTTTAATGTATTTTTTGGTATTGATGCAGTGATTGAGCTGCATATAGCAGAGAACATGCAATGCCTGTGCTTTGCCACTTAAGTGTATTTTGCATTTTTTTTTATTTTTAATTTTAGTAACTCCTTCAACACAATCACAAGGTACATGTCAGCATAGAGTCAAAAACTTCACACCACTTCATGTACATGAAACAATATGCATGCCTAAAGGCACAGTATGAGTAATCTCAGATTACAAGTTAGATATACTGTAAGTATAACATATCAGAAGTGTCGCCCTTGATTCTAAGTACATGTGAATAATAAAAGTTTTCAAAATCTAAAACAATAGCATATAGGATAGTAACAAGAAGCTGGGGTGACTAATAAATAACTATCAAAATATCACAAGTAGGAAACAAGAAATTTTGGGGGGGGGTTGTGCCCTAGAGTGGATTCCCCCAACCTCTCACTCACAAACTGCACTATATGGCAGGCCGAGGGACAAGGATGAGGGTGATAGATGCTATTTGGACACTAGCAGTGGAAGACCTGGGAGAATCTGAAAGCATTCTCTTTCCTTTTTAGAGAAGTTGTAAGTTGCTGAAGTTCATCAACTACTGAAGGCCATTGTCCAATGGAGGAGGGCTCAGTGCAGCCATTTGTATAATTATATAGAATATATATATATTTATTTATTTCATTATAGACTGGGCACTTGAGGCATAGCTGCTGTGGGAAACCCTATGGTTATAGGCTGCCAGCAGCAATAAATGGTGGAGGGGGTGGATTATATGGCTAGTAGAAGGACAGGAAGCAGAAGAAAATACACATAGACTCCTACAGCCATAGACTGCCCACCATTCCACAAATAAGGCCCATCAAACAAACAAAAAAGACAAACTATCCCAAAAGGAAAGGTAGAGGTGCTGCCACGTTTTCATTCTTTCTACCTCTACTCCTTCACCTTTTCCCCTTTCTCCTTCACGTCTTTCTCCTCTAACCGTAAAACGCATAAAAAATGAATGAAAAACATGGCAAAAAGGCAGCAAAAAACACGGACATGTGAACCTGTCCCATAGGAAAACATGTTAAATGGACTGTAGTGTGTTTCTGCAAAACGCTGCGGAAAACGCTTGTGTGAACCTAGGGTAATGTCAATTTTATGTGTATTTTAAAAACTTAAAGTATAACTAAAGGCAAAACGTTTGTTTTTTTTATTTTGAACAGAGTGGAGATGGTTTAGAACATCTGTCATTTTTTATTGCTGCCTGTGTCCCCGTTAGGGAGATTCACCCTCTCTCTTTGTCCTGTTTATCATTATCATTGAAAGTAAAAGTAAAAGAAAATCCAAATTTTGGGTTGTCCCCAGAAAAGTAATAGAGGGGAAATTTTCCAATGTCGACACTAATTCCAGGGATCTGGGGGCCTCAAGGAATTCCCTTAGTTTTCAGGGATTTCCTCTCACTTCCTGTTTGGCTATGTGACAGGAAGTGAAGGGAAATCTCTGCAATGGGACACAGATGGCGAAAAAAAATCTGACGGGGGTTATAACCCTTCCTTGCTCTATCCAAAATTTTTTTAAAAAGTTTTGCCTTTAGTTCTACTTTAATGTACAATAAAATGTGGACAATGTTTTACATATGAAATTTGTGTATAAACATCAGTTTGTGTCACTTTAAAAATCCCTCCACACATAGAGTCACTTTTGTTAGTTTTAATAAAACTAATCAGACCTGGATCACAGATGAACACCATACTACCACTGTAAATGTTGCTGATAAAATCAATACCACTTACTTATATACTGTATGCTTAAAGTGGTTGTAAAGGCTGAAGGTCAAAGGAGCAAATACACACAAGCACCCCCAAAGCAAACAGCTTGCTGTGGGAGCACTCAACAGGGGGTAGGGGCCAGGAGGGGGACCCAAGAAGAGGATCATTGGGGCTGCTGTGTGCAAAACCACTGCACAGAGCAGGTAAATATATGGGATATGGGAACACGTGAGTATCAGCAGCATTTATAGGAGGAAAAGTGTTTGACAATTGCGCAACAAAGTTTTTTTGTTGAAAGTTACTAGATGTAGTAGTTTTTGTTGTGGGGTGTATTCATTTTTGCATCAATTTGAGTCAAACTGAAGATTTTGTAATCTAAGTTATATTATTAGCCTTACTTTCATGTAATAAGCTAAACAAATGTTCTATAAAACTCAGTTTTGTCAAACATTGGGAAATTGTTCATGTGTTCATTGAGATATTGATGACAATCTAATCTTTTCAAAAGGGGTGTACTCATTTATGCTGTGTACTGTATATATATTTATAATGGTATTGGAACACCTGCCTTTACATGCACGTGAACCGGCATCCCAGTTTTAGTCTGTAGGGTTCAATATTGAGTTGGCCCATGCTTTGCAGCTATAACAGCTTCAATTCTTTTGAGAAGGCTGTCCACAAGGTTTAGGAGTGTTTCTATGGGAATGTTTGACCATTCTTCCAGAAGTACATTTGTGAGGTGAGGCACTGATGTCAGATGTGAAGCCCTGGCTCACAGTCTCAGCAGTCTCTAATTAATTTCAAAGATGTTCTGTCAAGTTAAAGTCAGGACTCTGTGCAGGCCAGTCAAGTTCCTCCAACTCAAAAAATTGCTCATCCATGTGTTTATGGACCTTGCTTTGTGCTCTGGTGCGCGGTCATGTTGGAACAAGAAAGGGCCATCCCCAAACTGTTCCCACAAAGTTGGGAGCATGAAATTGTCCAAAATGTCTTGGTATGTTGACACTTTAAGAGTTCCCTTCACTTGAACTAAGAGGTAAAGCCCAACCCCTGAAAATCAACCCACACCATAATTCCCCCTCCACCAAACTTTTAGTTAGCACAATGCAGTCAGGCAAGTACCGTTCTCCCGGCAACCGCCAAATCCAGACACGTTCGCCAGATTGCCAGACAGAGAAGCGTGATTCATCACTCCAGAGAGCATGTCTTCACTGCTCTAGAGTCCAGTGGCAGCGTGCTTCACACCACTGCATCCGACGCATTGCATTGCATTTGGTGATGTAAGGCTTGGATGCAGCTGCTCGGCCATGGAAACCCATTCCATGAAGCTCTCTACGCACTGTTGTGGTAAACTGAAGGCCACATGAAGTTTGGAGGTCTTTAGCTATTGTCTTTGCAGAGAGTTGGTGACTTCTGGGCACTGTGCGCTTCAGCATGCGCTGACCCCGCTCTGTCATTTCGTAGCTGAGTTGCTGTTGTTCCCAGTTGAGTTGTTTTCACTTAGTTATAATACAGTTGACCGTGACCGTGGACTATTTAGTAGCAAGGAAATTATTGCACAGGTGGCAAGCTATCAGGGCACCACGTTGAATTCACTGAGATCCTGAGAGCGACCCATTCTTTCACAATTGTTTTTAGAAGCAGTCTGCATACCTAGGTGCTTAATTTTATACAAATAGAAATTAGCAGCTGAAAAGAGCAGACCTGCCATAAAGCGGTATATTACAAATCCAATGTTGAGTAATAATCACTGAATTAGTGAATGCAAATTGTATTTATTAAGATCACAGGAATCGTGAAAAGGTAGATATTATATAATGGTGAACAATTTTCAATCATAAAAATAAAATCAAAACATATAAAAACAAAAAAACCTTCTGTGTTTTCCACTTAGCTGCGTGAATGACTAATGAGCCAGATAAAACAGGCGAAAACTACTTCTGTATTCATTTATGGAAAGCCCATGTAGAAAATCCAGGTAGAAGCAAATCTTCCATATTTTGAATTTAAATCCTTTATCTTTTAAGATG